TGATACTACAAGATTATTATTTTAAACTTCATTAGAAATATGGAGTATAACCACATTAGTATTAGTAAGTAATAACACTAATAGGTATATATTATTTTCTTTCATTTTGGAAGATACAAAAACTACTGTATAGCGATTAAAATATTAAATAGCAATCCTTATCTCAAACATGTTACGTGGCTTATTACCATAGCATGCACTTCTTACATTTATCTTTTAATAAGACATTGGTTTAACTATAATATAATAATATATATACTTCGTATATATTAACGATGCATGCCAGTGAACATAAAACAAAACCCGTGAATTGAAGGGTGCTGACTGCATATGCATATGCATGAGTTGCTTTTCACATGCAACCCGTGACTCTCTCAACTTAGCTAGTATTTTATTCATTTATCTATGAGGAGGTCTTTATTTGCATGTTACTTTGATATGCTAAGTGTTCCAGTTACTCTAACGGAACTTGCTATCTTCTTGAAGTTAATCAAGTTATATTATTCTTCTTATTATTTATCAAGATGAAAGATAGAGCTTTCTACGGTTCAAGGCTTCAAGCTAGTAAGTGTAGATAATTATTTTGATGGTTATATATGTTCTCCGTATATATTTGAAGACAAAATTAACAGTAATAATATATGATGATATTCATACCTGCAGGATGATTTCTTGGAGATTTTTTAGCAGATTCATGCTGATAACATGTTGTACAATGAAGAAGATGAAAAACAAATTTAAGAGAGATATATATTAATAAAAGCTCTAAATTACTTCTTCTCAATATCTGAATATATTCTGAATTTTCTGAGTACATTTACAAAGGGTTGATCACCCTATTTATACTAGTTGTCTAGGAGATGAATCATCAAAGAATTATTCTACATAATCTGCTGGAAACATTAAACATAGTCATCTTTCTATTACAATGATGGAAATTGGATTAGTGTCCTGATGACAAGGATGAACAATTCACACTTGTCATTCTCAGGATTTTACAACAATTTCCAATTTTTTGTTTTCTTTTTTTTAGTTTTTCATTTTTAAATCTGAAAACATGTTCATACGATTTTTTCATCTGGTTCTATGTCCGACCAAAAGACCGAAAGTCCCAGTCCGAACCGAACCTAGTACAAATCAAGTAGGGTACTGGGTCCCACGTATAGGAAAGTCAGGACCGAAAACCGATTAGTCATGGTTGATCTCAACACTTAGTTTGATGAATTCTTTTTTATTTTTCTATTGATTGACAAATGAATGGCTCTTTCAAAACTCTTCACTTTAAAAAATGATTTCAACAAACCGAGACTGAACCGCCAGGTCATTGACCGGCCTAAACAGGGACCGTCGGGTCTTTTAAGGGATTGGATTGGGACGACATGGTTGTCAATCGAACCGAACACAAACCTTCAGGTCATTTTGTCAGACAAGATGGGGACCGTTGGGTGATTGAACGGATAAGACGGGGACTAACGGGTGGTTGACCGAGCCAGACGGAGACCACCGGATGGTTGACCAGACCGGACGAGAACCACCGAGTTGTTGACTAGACTAGATACGCTGGATCGAACTGGGACTGCCCGACTGTCGATCGGACCAGACAAGTACCGCATGGTCGTAGATCAGACCAGACAGGGACCGCCAGGTCATGGACCGGATCAGATAGAGGTCGCCATGCCGTGGAGCAGACTGGACATGGATCGTCGGCGCGGGTCAATGATCGGATTGTACCGCCGAGTCAGTAACCGGATCAGATGGAGACCATCGGGTCATTGACCAACCAGGAACTGACACCGGAGCGTGACCGAATGAACACTAGGCGTAAGTATGTAAATTCATTGCAGCGGCACTGCAACATTTGTGTTTTCCAGATTTGGAAAACTAGTAAGTAAAAGTCACTTCGGCCAATTCATTAAGGAAAATAAAGACATATATCATTTTTTTGTTTTGGAAAACAATTTGGTAAACACAATTTTGTGTTTTACTTTCTCCAGTTTTCTAGCAATTTTTTTTGTAAACACGTTTTCTGTTTTCATATCTCAAGTTTTCCAGTTTTCTGAAAAACTGGAAAATATTTCTGTTAGTAAACAGGCCTGAAAATTTCCTAAACTGTAAATTCTAAGGTACCCACCATTTGTAAAGGTGGAGAGGCCAAAATGTAAAAAAATGAACTCGCATCATTTGAAAATAGTGTTTAGATTCTTATTTCTATGCATCCTTGTTTAGTCAATAATATACACTCAACACATTTTTTACATAACAATTTTGTGAAACATTAACTAAATTATTATAAGTAATGTTTTCCTTTTAGTTTTTCCATGAATAATTATGAAATAAGAAATACACATTTCAATGTAAAAATAAATAAATTTCATTATTTTTTTAACGTTTTTCCTTGAACAAAAAATGCAATTAGTTCAAGTAAAGTTTGATTATGGAATATTCATTTATTTGTAAAGACTCCATGAATTAAAAATTTGTGTTTCGTGCTTTTTTGGGTTCAAGAAAGAAATTCAATTGTTAAAACTTCAGATTTTTTTCAATTTATATATTACATATTGGTGTCATATGAAAGATTATAAAAATTCATGAATTTTGATACTAGTATATTTTTTGAAAAATTTGAAGAACAAATAAAAAAGTTATAAGAATTGAAAACAAAATCAGAATTTTAATGACGTTTGTGTGACATCATCATGATGTTAGCAAAACACAATATGAGCAACGCCCAAGAGCAGGTCAAAAATTTTAAGGAGCCTTAGGTGACTCTCTTATGGAGTCATATGGGATATTGTGGCACCACTATCATCATTCATTTATTTTGTGGGGTCCTCCACTAAATAAATGAATAGTGATGGTTGTACCACAGTCGCTTATGGAGTTATATAGGGTTTCATAAATCTTTTCTTTTTCTTATTCTTTTCCCATTTAAATTTACCCCCTAGTTTTACACCCCTCCATCCATTTTCTCAGTTTTAGTCCCCCTTTTAATCATCAACTACACCAAATTAAGAGTCAAATATTCAATCTTTAACCTTTTGACTCTTAATCCTACATCACTCCAAATGGTCTTAAGGTACCATATACTTTTGTCCATATTAACCAATCTTATTATCATAATGTTGGAGTTGAATTATTCAAATTTAAATTAAAAATGATAAAATGATTTGGATCAATGGAGCAAATGATAGATACAATACGCCATTTGTCAAATGGGTACCAGACTTATCACCTTCCGATATTACAATAAAAACTTTCTTCAATTCTAAAATAAGGCGATTACTACATCCATCCCCCAAAAAAATTGTCATTTCAAAAAAATTGAACAATGATTTTGATTAGTATAATATTATGAAAGTTATAAATTTTATACTTTTATGAAAGTAATTTTTACAAAAAATATTTTCATATAATTTTTATACTACGTATTATAAATAATTTCCAATAAAAAGATATAGTTGGTCAAAGTTTTGAAAATGACAAAGTTTTTTTGCAAATAATATATTTTTATTCTCGAAATAGGTTAATGTCATATTTTAGTAGTACCATACTTTAAATATGATAATATATTTCTAAATTTAACAGTAATTACTCATATTTAGAGAATAAAAAATGACAGTCCTATTTTAAAAATAACGTTTTTATTCTTACTTCGATAATTTTTCCTATTTTATACTAAAAGGATGACATCATACTGAGACCTAGTACCGAGTGAACTGTTAATTGAGGAGTGATGTTGATCATACTTTTATATAATTCGGGTCAAGATGTACCATTCTTTTTACTCCTCCATATCTCAATCAGTATAAGAAAATCAAATTAAATATAGTAGTATGGTTTTTGTTGGCTCATAAAATATTAAAATTCTCGCAATTTAAAAGAGTGAAAAATGCAGATATATAAGTGTGGGAAAATTTGTATTAAAATTGCATTAAATGACTTTCTAAAAAATGCATTAAATGGTGATTTTTGGGCATAACTCCGAGTGGTGTCCACTTACCATTTGGGTCGGGTCAAAGTAGATTCGGATTTTTCTTGGTAAGAGTTTCAATTCGATATATGGTACACTCAAAATGGATAATGAGTGAATAAGAAATTGATTTTCGAAATTCACTTGTTGAGCTGGAGAATAGGAAAATTCTAAAGGTAGAAAACTAAACGTAGAACTACAGTCGGTTAATGAACGTTTTAATTTCTTCTTTGAACTACTAGTATTTCGAGCATTGGTTAACATTTTGAAACTGTAATACATGATTAATGCATGGTTTAATCGCATCATTAACGACTTTTAACATTTTAACCCATTAAGTCGTGTTTAATGGGCGGTTTCACCACTATAAGTGTGGTATTAATGCATGATTAATATAAAGGCTCCTCCTTCCCAATATATGCTTGACAGAACCTTTTGGAAATCATACTGAACACACTGGAATACTCTTACATACTCGAATACACCACACCACTCGTGCACTGTTGGGAAATTCTATCAAAACTTTCGATGAAACTTTTCCAGTTGTACTGTTTGTTCCAGTTCGCTAGAGCAACATATTGAGTGCTCAATATTGTTGTTCATCGACCATTCTACAGAATACTCAATATGGTTGTTCGTCAATCATCGTATCCTGGGAGCCTTATACTGGAATGCTCCAAGCACCGTGAAGATGGTGACTTGGTTGTAAAGACATTGCGTGTTGCACAAGATTTGACCGTACTTGTGCTATTTTTTTATCCAGTTCATTCGGCTACTTTTAATTTCATGTTTTTCAGGAAAACAAATCAGCGAACCTAACAATCTTTACAAAGACAACAAAGAAGATTTTGTAGTGCAGGACTTAGCTTTTTTATGCGTTTCAAACTTCTTTTAAACACATGCTGTTTTTTTAATGAAAGCACGTTTATAACGAAAAATAATATTGGCCCATTTTAAAAGGAAAAACTTCTATTTCCCGTATTTTACAAAAAAACATGAATTGATCGATTGAATTAGCATTAAATGCATAGGAGACCAACAAAATAAAATATATCATATTTCATAAATAATAAGAGATGTTAATGGAGATACAATTTAAATCATACTAGTATACCATTGCTCTTTTCTTAAAATTAATGTCATATGAAAACAAAATACACCTCTACTTGTTCATTGGCTCAGATAAGTTATAAATAACACAAATTGAACAGGATGACTAATTATCAATTATTAACTAATGAGGCTAGCCTTGAAGTCCAAGTCTATGATAGTGCTGAGGTTCATTGGATGCATATAGTCGGTGGTTCCATTCATGATCTGATCAACTATCATTCGGTTAGCCCTTTCTGATGGGTGGAATGCATCCCAAAATGCATATTCATCTCTATTTGGGCATAAGTTTGACAGTGGCGTGCACAAGCCCAGTCCATTGAATCTTCCTTGTCCACAACATGCCACCTTTGATGTCTTAAATCCTGTCCATATTATTGACAATAAGCCAAAATTTAATATACATACATACATCTAGTCAAGTCTCAATACATAGCCTTAGACCCTTAGTTTCCTTAATTAACAAGAACATTACCCTAGTGTTGCAAAGGCCCCATGCATTTACGGATAAAAAAGGTCAGGTGTACGCAACATTACCCTTGTACTAAAGTAAAGAAAGATTGCATGTTTTCAGATAGCATGATAAAAGTCATATTGAAGATTGCATGAACTGAATGTTGCTTCAATTCATAACAAAAAATTCAAACAGTTTAGTGAGTCATTTTACTTTATTCCATCATATACTCCTCCCAAAAAGAGTGAGTTTTTTACTCCATTGAAAATGATGGAAAAAATAAAAAAGACTCTTTGTTTCCTTAAATAAGTTAAATTAATTTAGTCTAACACCATGTGGTAACCAATTTTGGTATACACAATATCTTTGCAATATCAATAACATCAAACCAATTTAAATTTATTCACACTCATGAAAAGTCAAAATTGAAAGTTTTTTAATTGACGTTTTCATTGTTTGCTTTTTTCTTAAACAATACTACGTATAAGAATGAATTGATAGGGGATTTTTGTAAAAGATGTGAGAAAACAAAGGAAAAAGAACCTGTTTTCTGATGAAATGTCGTAAACTGTACATTAAAATTCTATTCAAGTAGAAAAGTTGAATGAAGAAAATGCAAAAGAATATGAGAAACGTACCAAAAGATTCAGGGCTACTAATGAAATCCATGTGCATTAGATTGGTGTTGACCCCAACAAACACGTCTGCTTTGACTTCACTATTAAGTTCTTTAATCATCTGAACGAGTTGAGGGTTGTACAAAGCGGCGGCGTGCTGCAGCTCCACCGCGCATTCGCCTCTACGACTGTGCTGTGCTAGCTCCGCCGGCACACACCCCAACGGCCCAGACCCGGTCACTAATACCCGACGAGCTCCCAAATCATACAGCCTCTACAAATCCATAATAAATACGGAGTATAATATATGTTGACATGCTTGAAATTAATAATAATTAACTAGAAAAATTAGACTATACAAAAATGGTTGTATAATGGGAAATTGCACTTTTGTTCCCATTTGTTCTATAAAATATAGTCTCTTTCTATAAATTTCAAATCTTGAAATCGCACCTACCTCGAGTCTCTCAAATAGTATCCACATTGAAATGTAGTTTTCGCGTTTTCAAGTTTGTAAATGTCATCCCCGTATGTTCAAATTGTTTTGAAGGGTGACACTTACAACATAAGTGAGAATCACATTTACAACAAATCGGACAATTGAGGTTTGACATTTACACACTTGAGAATACATGAAATATATTTCAATGTGAACATTATTTGACCGAGAGATTGAAAATGCGTTTTTCCGAGCCCTTTTATAAATCTTGCCTTTAAATGAGTAACACCTTAATTGTAAAATCGTTAATTGAAAGTCAGGAACGGCATTTCAACTTAACATTGTGATCAACTTAACATAGTAAATAAATTACTACCTCAGTTCCATAAAATTCTTACTACTTTGACTTGGCACAGAGATTAAGAAATTAGAATAAAGTTGAAATGTATGGTTGTGGTTGTGTAAGAAAAGGTGAAATGAATGTGAACCACACAAATTGTCCAAAAATGGTAAGTGGGAAGATTTTTTTGGGACTGCTCAAAAAGGAAAGATGGAAGAATTTTATGGGACGGAGGGAGTATTAGAGACGGTGACTTTCAATTATATCATGAATTAAGGAAAAGAATACTTAAAAAGAAGGAAGAAGAATATAGGTACCTTGAGTATCTTTTTGTATTCGGAGACGAGGAGAGTGACATATTGAGGGAGGGGATATTGGCGAGACCTATAAGAAAAGGGCACCAAATAATAGTTGTTCACGAAATCATTTCCGCCCAGAGAGATTAGAACTAGTGCTTCATTCACCAGTTTCTTCGTCTTGTTTGCTCCTTCCATTTCTGTCACTCTTTGCTGGTACTGTTCAAAATAGGCCAGTTGCTTTGGGATCCGAATTATATTTACCTGCAAATTATGATATAAGTAAGTATAAATAGGCCAACTTTCCTTTTTCGTCCGTTCCAATTAAAACTTCTACTTTCCCTTTTTGGAAAAGAATTTGTGCTTCACAACATTTCTTACACATTTCTCTCTCCTCTGCACAACTCATCACCACACAACACCCACCATCTTAAATTGCGTGCCAAACCTATTTGTAAGTTATAATAGGAACGGAGGTACATAGTATATATCTCGAATTAAAAATGTGTCTTTACTAGTTGAAGTTTCTTTGAATTGCATGGCCCGGAATTCAAATTCCTTAAATTTGACATTTTATTAGTAAATGAAAATATATAACATCGAGCAAATTATTGCAAACAATACTTCGTATATGTTGTTGAAACAAGCAAGTACTTGTATATTTGATCCATAAGAATCAAACGTGTTTTAATTGGAATGATTTTCGTCTCAAACCAAATCAGACATATTAGTTCTGATCAGACCAGACTTCTCACAATTAGAGCCCAGTTAAATAAAAAAGGCCATTGATTGATATTTTAGATAATGAGACAAATTTGTAACGGATGAAGCAAATAAAAGTGCATCTCTTTTACAAGTCAAATTTGTAACGTGAAGCTTACGAATGTTTGGTTGAAAAGAGTTGACTTACGAATTGGATTCCGGTATCATTAAGTATTCCCACCCCGGCCGAAGCAAAGTTGGCACCTATCAGAAGCTTTTTCCCGGTCAACGCCGGGCTCAGATATGGCATTAGATGCTCCGAGCCCAACTTCTCACCTGTAATGATTAATTAGTATACCATTATACATGCACATATCAAGTTACCATTGACAATTACTCCTTGCGTCCCATAAAATAGTTTGTGCATTAGCTTGGATCGAAATTCAAGAAAGTGAGAATAAAGTAGAAATGTATGCTTGTGGTTTAGTAAGAAAAAAGTAAATAATTGTGAGTCGCACAAACTTTCTAAAAAGGCAAATGTGAACTATTTTTTAGGATGACCTGAAAAGGAATCCGGGAACTATTTTACGGGGCAGAGGGGATATATATTTTTATACTACATCCATCCCAAAGAGGTTCGTCATATTGGCTTTCTTGATTAATAATGACAAACTTTAGAGAATAATTTAAATTATTATATTTACATAATTTATGAATTTTAATTTATTCTTTTATGAAAATATTTGAATAAGGAACATTTTGATATAATTTTCATATTCAAAATAAATTTGAATTAAAAAATATCATTTGTTAAATTTTTGATGATAATTGATCAAGAAAAATCAATTTAGCGAACATTTTCAAAAGGTATGGAGTAGTAAACTACTTATAGTATAATATAAAACGATAGAATTATATGAAAATATTATTTGTTAAAAAAATTCATAAATATAAAAACCTTATAGCTCTTACAAAAATATACGGAGCACTTCATATCAATCAAAATCATTAGTCAATTGTCACCACCATTATATGCAATTCTCTTTGAGACTGAGATCAGTAGTATTTCTTCAATCCGAAGTAAATCAAACCAAATTGAAACACCGAAAAATCAAATAAACCCGAATCGAACTAAAATATTCAATAAATTTGTAATATACGTAGTATTTTAAAAATAACAAATCCAAATCGAACAAACTCTAAAAGAATCAAACCGAAACACAATATGATTTTCTTGGTATGTAATACTATCGATTCTTATAACCCGTTTCAAACAAAAACCAAACAAAAAAACTGATAAAAGTCAAACGGAAACACATATGGAGTACTCCCTCCGTCCCAATTTCATTTGCAAAATTTCCTATTTTGGTTGTCCCAAAATGGTTTTCCACTTTCTATTTTAGGTATGTAAATAAGAATAAAGTGACAAATTTACCCTTACTTTTACTTTTTCCCCATTAACTTAAATGCATCTACTTTTAGAAAGGTGGACAAAAGTGTAAAAAACAAACATCATTCATTGTCATTCCTTAACCCTTGTGCCGGTCAAAGTTTGCAATTCAATTCGGGACGGGGGACTATATGATATGTCCCCCTCCAAATTAAATAAATACTCCCTCCGATTCCAAAACAAGTTCCACATTTGATTTCACACATATTAAGAAAATAAATTTGACTTTACTGTGGAGTGCACTGTTTGGCACTGTTTGAACACTGTTTGGCACTGTTTGACACTGTTTGACACTGTTTTGATGTAGATAATAAGGAAATGTTTGAAAGTGGAACTTAAATTTGAATCTATCCAAAAAGGAAAGGTGAAACTTGTTTCAGAAACGGGGGAATATATGTATTTCTTCAATGCAACATAAAAGTCAAAAACGAATGTAATTAACTGCGTGTCTATTTTTGGGGACGTAGTTGGTAGAAAATGAATGAAGCGACATAAAATAAAATATTGGTAGTGTACAGTCATACGGTTACCACTGCTCACTGCCTACTATATATACTCAGTAGACTGTAAACGCTAAATTAAACCAACTAGTAACGACGTACTGATGATGTCGGGGATGTTAAGGCCATTGGAGAAGCGGCCGGTGGGGCGGTGAGTGGGATAGTCTATGCCGTAAGGCGGAGAATCCGCGCGGGCGGTGGTGGCGAGGAAGTTGTTGTTTCCATTGTCCACCAACGAATCCCCGAACACGAAAAACGCTCTTCCGCCACCACCCCCGCCATCTCCGCCTTCCGCCACCTGAAGTCCCGCGACAATCAAGAAACCAAGAATCATCATCATCATCGTCTCCTCCTCCTCCTCTAAGCTTCTACGCAACAAAATATTTTTATTGCCACACTTAGCGGTAGCGCCCATGCATTTATATATAGTACTACCTACTACGTATAATTTAATTGTGGTGATTAGTTAAGAAAGATGGAAAACCCATAAGAAGAAGAAAGCGTGTTTTGATTATACAATTATACTAATGATGGGTTTATATGGAAATTATAGAGAAGAAAACTTATAAGCGAGTTTGATTTTCAACAGCACTACGTAATGGTATAAGTGTGTATGTGCTCATCAAAGCATGGGACAGTTAGTGGTTAAGCTCGGGAATTTAATATGGTTAATTAATTAAATGCGTTTATTAGTTGACCGGTACGTGTAAGCTAATAAGCTTATATAATAAGCTAAGATATATAGGCTGAGAGGCTAATTACTCACAGCCCACACGCAAAATAATGGACTCAGCTCTTTAATTTGTGTGTACATACATCATTTGTTAGTTGAGAAGAAGTAGCGCAGTTGTTCAGAGTTCCCAACCTCCCAAAAATTATTACCAAGTTTAATTGCGTCTGTGAGCTGAACTTTATTTGTAACGGAGTATTAATTAAGGAGAAAATAATTAAAATATAGGATAGTATAACTCAAACTTTGAAGAGATATGAGGTAAGCACTTTAAATCCTATTTAGTTAAATACGGTACGGGAATTAAACGAGGTTTAATGCGTACGTGTATTATTCGGTAACATTAATGAAAAAATGGTCAAAAATTCGTTCAAAAACACGTTGACTTTAAAAAAACGTGTAAATACGTATACGCGTATAATACGGTATCTGTTACAAAAATTCGGACAAAAATACGGGTACTATTTTGAACATTTAAATTATATACTTCACAAAATAACATATATAGTAAAAAGAAATAAAAGTATACACGTATTCAAGTAGCAAATCTCATTACTACATAAAAGAATAATTCGTAAAAAAAGGATGACACCCCATCCCTGAGGCCCCCTCCCAACCACGATCGGACGATACGTTGGGAGGATGTAATTAAAACCATAAATTTACATTTTTGAAATAAATAATACATGATCATGATGTTAAAATAACTCTTTATACGGAGTATAAAATTTGGGATATTTAAATTACATATGAAAGTTTGAGATGTTTATCTCACATCCCTTCAAAGTTTCAGATATTTTATTTATTTTTTGCATTAATTAATTAGTTACAAATTATATTGACTGAAATAACGATAATAGATGAAACATAAATTCTCTTCATAGGAGAGTTCGGGGAGGCATGACTTCTATGGTTAAGTTGATAGCTAGCCAGGAGCAAAAAACACACGATTTGACAAAACTACATTAGTAGCAAAAAAATAAATGATATCATTGGATAAATGATAAAAATATTTTGAAATCGAAAATGTAAAGTGTGATAAGAAAAATCAGACACTTAAAAAAATATTGTAATCTTGAAAACATATTGGTGTCGTTGGAATAACATTATTTGTCAAAGGGTTTATTTGGAAAATTACTTATCATATGTCATTTTTTCAGCTTATCTGACTAGAATTAAGCATTGTTTGAAACTGGTTCTCAAAAGCACTTTTGTGCTTTCTTGTCACCAAAAGTCAAATTTGGTGTTTGCAAATTACCACTTCTCCTTTCCTTTATGCAAAAAACGGGAAGGACCTTTTTTCAAATTCTTGATAAATTGGTAATTCTTGGTAACTAGGGGGCATTTATACTTATAATATGTGTTGTTGTATCCCATTAATGCCCTTCTCTCTTTTCTTGATACATCACTAATTTAATGAAAGAGGGGCATTATTGTACATTAATAAAAAACTGCATCAATAATCACTTTTTTTACTAAATACTCCAATTTCAATACCTTTTTATAAAATCTCTTTATTCTCAAACACTATCAACTTTTACAATTAATCATTTTTTCATATTTCATTAGAAAAATCAGTTTTTAGGGAAAGTTCCTGAAATAGGAGTAAAAAAGTTTGAAGATTCTAAAATAGGATTGTCATGTCTTTATTCCCAAAATAGGAGTAATTACTGTCAAGTTTGGAAAATAGTGTCATGTTTAAAGTCTGGTACTGACAAAACATTGCAGTAATTAGTCCTATTTTGGTAATAAAAATATGATAGTCCTATTTTGAAATATGCAAATGATTTTAATCTTATTTCGAGTAATTTCTCTTTTTCTTTTAACCAGAAGCGGATGCAAACACTCCGGTTTAACAATTCAAAGATCCAAAAATAGGTACTGTTTGGCAAATAGCTTGCTCACATACCCGATTGCTCTAAAGAGCTGAAAACAAAAACGTCATATGGGGCAGCGTTTTGTTTAGTCCATCCGTTTAAACTCTTTTCTGCCATTCCATTTCGGGTAAAGAATATTTACATGCCATTCTCGTAAATCTTATTTTGTCTGAAAATATCATATTTTAAGTTTATAAATACTTAATGTGAATTTATATAAAATGATTTTTATCGGCTCGCTCATTTTAGCAATGATCTAGAAACATGTCGCATAAGAGATCAACATTACTCTCTAAATCGTTATATTCTACACCACTAGAGTTGTAAGAATTTAACATTGATCCATAGTGTTACGTTGTTCATTTAAACAATTGTCATGTGATTAGTCCTGCCTAGGCCCAGAATCTGGTCGTCCTGGAACCAACCGACCATGTTTATTTACAAAATCCATCTCGCACATTAACATTTACTTTTATTTGATTTAATCATTGAAATTATCACAAAACTCTCCTTTCCCATCCTAGTGAGAGGTCTCGAGTTCAAAACCTGCTAGACACATAAGAGTTTGAAACTCAATAGAGTGAGTTTCAGCCCATATTACTCCAGGCCCCCAGACCCCTCCCCTAGACCTCCTGGAGTAAAAAAAACTCTCCTTTCATATCCCTGTGGAGTCGATGCACATATTTACACCATATACTATTACCCTAGCTATACTATTTATATTTACTCCCTCCGTCCCGAAAAGGTTTGCCAAATTGACTTTTCTTGATCAATGACAATCAACTTTGACCAATGATATATTTTAATAGGAAATTATTTAGAATATGAAAATTATATCAAAATATTTCTTATTGAAAATATTTTCATAAAAGTATAAAATTTATAAATTAAATACAAATATAATAACTAAAATCATTGCTCAAAGTTTGTTATCATTGACCAAGAAAACTCAATTTGGCAAATCTTTTCGGGACGGAGGTAGTATTATTTTAATTGCGAGAAAACACGCATCACAACTCAATCAGGTTTCAAATGGGACATCTGAATTAGGGCTGCTAACGAGGCGAGCCAAGCCGAACATCCAGCCGAACTCGAGCTCTGAAGTTCGGTGGCCGGGCTAAATTTGCAAATGCGTGCGCGCACAAGTGCTGATATAGTAATAAATTCTGATAAAATACCGGGTCGAATCCACATAAAAATGTTGTTTTATTCTAAGTCCAAAAGTACAAAACTCAAAATACGGAAAGGAGTAAAGTGAAGTGATTTTGGTTTACGTTTTGGTATGAGAACCATAACTTGGCTTTTCACATTGATTTCGCAAATATGACTTTAGTTAGTTTGAGTTTAAAACAATTGATAACAACTAAGGCTTTGGGAATCACCTAAACACCCTTTACTAGTATTAGTTCAAGTTCTTTACCAACAATTATGAATATGACGTCGCTAATATATTCTCAACTCCAGTTAATGTAGCGGGAGCGTAGTTTCTGTTACATGTATGTCCCATTACGGCTTATATTCATCTACTCAAAACCTCGTTGAATATCAAGACATCACACGCGTATCATATAAAACCAGATACATTTCTATTCTCGATTCTCTATATGTTTATCCTTTAAGTTCATAGTTTACTCCTCAATCTTTTCATTGCAAGCATAAACTAAATTTAATATACTTCTATGTTGATCACCATATTCATACATAATTAAATTACTTCCTCCATCTCGAAAAGGTTCGCCAAATTGACATTTTTTGGTCACTGACAATCAAGTTTGACTAGTGATATTTTTCAATACGAAATTATTTTGAATATGAAAATTATATCAAAATGTTGCTTATTCAAAATATTTTCATAAAAGTATAACATTTATAAATTTTATACAAATAATATATTTAAAATCATTGTCCAAAGTTTTCCATCAATCTCATCTTTGACCAAGAAAGGTCAATATGGCGAACCTCTTCGGGACGGAGGTTGTATAAAGGATAAACCACAAATTCTTGATTAAGAACTTTTATCAAACATTTATCATGCATAAAAGTTCATCCCTAACCTTAGCTAAAGATTTAGCCTCATGAGCTCATCCTAATTACAAAAGAATAAATAAGATGACGGGAATACAATATAACATAGAGGAAATGATACTTATAACTGACTGTAGAAGAAAAAATGGCTTCTTATCCAACTCTTCGATCAAGAGAATGCAAAAATGAAATTTAAGCTTCAAGGATGAATTGATGATCTTGTTTGAAGAATAATTGAGGGCTTTATATAGGCTAAAGAATGACATCTTTTAGTCTATTCAAAGTCAACAATTATGCATGGATGAAACATTTGATCAGATCAGTGGGAAATTGGGGTTTTTCCATCAAAATTAGGTTACATATCTCATTATGTTGTGTAGATTTTAACTAAACCAGCACCGGTTTCAGGCCTAATCAGTGCTAGTTCTCTCTCACCCCTGGGTTCCGTGTTTTGTAAAGTTAGCCGGCGCCGGTTATAAGGCCAAACCAGCATTGGTTTGCTCTCGGCATTTCAACATCGAAAAAAAATGCAATTGGTGTCGCTTCAAGCCCATACCGACGCCAATTTCTTCCAAGGATTTCGGGATCATTCGATTACGAATTCGGACATGATTCCCCCAAAGATTTGAATCATCTGATCAAAATATATTAATAAAATCGTGAGAGGTATACATCCTGAAATTCCACCAGCAACATCTGACTTTATCAGTTGATTTGATCTTGGTCCTCTCATATTCTGACCATGGTGTCTTCACAACATCTGATATTGAGTTATACTTCAAATGAAATCTGAATGGAGTCAGTTGGAGTTCTCTACAATAAGTTATACTTGAATGATGGACAAGACGTCATCCTCTTTCTCTAGAAAGCCGTCCGTCTATGATCACAATGTTTTGTGCCCTAGTTCTCATTCTGAAGGTCTTTGTCCAATTTTTCTTCTTTTCTTTAACAAAAACTTAGATATACTTATGTTAAACACAAGTAAAATACAACCACGACAATCACTCGGCGAGCTTTACAATTGAAGCTCGTGATCGGCTTGATGGGTGTTCGATATTCGAACCGAGCGCTCGATAAGCTCGGTAAATATGTTCGAATTTAAAATTTTAAGTAGTGATGCTCGTTAATAAGCTCGTGCTCGAATAATCATGTTTAAATTCGAAAAGTATTCGGTTCATCAATAATCATATTTAAATTCATTAAATCATACTAATTACATTCAAATTAAATCATAGAAGTAGGTTCAAATGACACTATGCCAAAAATGGCCTTTTTCAACATACAAAAACAGTCGAAAAAGGTGTTTTCAACTCTTTCGATCCGTCGAAGTGGGATCGAAAAAAGAGTCAAAAATTTATTCGACTCGCTTCATTAGTTGATATCAGATTTCAAATATCGACTCATTTAGACTGTCAATGTTTACAAACATTAAATATCAGTCGATAATCGGTATGGTGATAATATTATAGATGTTTATTTCAGTATCATTTATTTTAATTTTATTTATCATGCACACCAATTATAGAGGCGATCACAATAATATTTAAGGGAACAAATAAAGTAAATAATTTTCATTCATCAACAAAAAAACGCAATTAGAATCGAGTAATGTCTACAATCTTTTGAACATCAAGTGCCATTGACATACATGGTCCAAGTTATATTGACCCTTTAACTAATATTCAAGTAGTCCAATGTGTAAAAACTAGCAAACTAAAGATCAAAGAACAAAAGTAGCACTGAACATTAATTGATCCTAGTGAAGTGAACATTTACTTTTGGCCAATTGATGAGTTCACCAACAAGTATGTATTCAAACTTCTCATCTCTATCATATAGATACTCAAAGGGTATGATACAGTGATATTATGTGAAAGTGAATTGTGTATTAGGTGAAATGTGTATTAAATGAAACGAAAATGTCTAAAATAAAAGGTACTATGCGATGCCATTTTTGTACTTTTTACTTTGCACATTTTGATTTCACGTAATGCACATTTGAGTTTTACATTTTGCTCTGCACATTTCAAATTCTCCTAGTGCACATTTAAGTTTCACGAAATACACAATTCAATTTCACATAATACAATCCAATGATCCATATTCATTCTTATTTCTCTCATGGAAGTCCTTTCTCACCGGAATTGCACCCTATATATACACTACCTATGTTTCTTAAATAGTTGCAACATTAGAAATTTTACACTATTCACGTACTCTACTTTGATTATATTTTATTTATGAATGCATTAAAATTTTATTTTTAAAAAAATATCTAAATTCTTCTCACTTTAAAATTTTAAAATGTGATTTTCAGGGTGTTCAATCGGCTAGAACTCGAATCAAACCAAATACTACTATGTTCGAGCTGAAGTCAATTAATTGTTCGAACTTAAAACTGAGCTCGGGTTTGAGTTCGAAAGCTCGTTAATAGGCTTGTTAGGTTCAAAATCGAGCTCAACTTGAATAATTCGATAAAAGCCTGGTTCATTAACAGCCGTAATCTGAATAAACATAAACCAGCCTGATAAATGGAATAGAAGGTGTAGCGAGGAGCTAGATCGGGGGTTACCTATTATTAATAGGGGAAAATAATTTAAATATCCCAAACTTTCAAGAAGTTTGAGATGAGTAACCCAATCTTGCACATGTAATATATGTACCCCAAACTTTATATAAAAAATTCTGTTAACATCATGAGTATATATTTTTTAACAAATATAATTTTATTGTGTGAAGTACATAATTTAAAATACACAAAACATTAATGAGGATGCAATTAAAATTAAATTTTACTGGATATAATATTATTTATTTCACAAATGCAATTTTAGAATGCTAACTGCATTCTAGCAAAGTTTAGAGTATTTTAAATAATGTAATTATTCAAACAAATTTGTAATCATAAAAGAATGTGTGAAAATAACTTTTTTTTATAAAGTTAGGTATATACTCCAAACTTTAATGGAGTATATATTACATATGCAAGTTTGAAGTGTTTACCTCACAGGCTCACACCCCATTAAAGTTTGGGGCATTTAAATTATTTTTCCCTTATTAATATATAAACACACAGGTTAATCAATCACAAAGAATTTCAAAGTTTATAAAATCTTTAGGAATCAAGGGCCTGAGATAAAAAAAAACATCATGCATTAATGCATGCTATGCTCTCTAGCAATGATGTCACAGCATCACAAGAAATTGAAAATGTAAAAGTTATAGCTACATGACGATGCATTTATTAAATACTCACTTAATTACCTAGATAGTGGAATACTAGCTAGAATAAATGGGCTCCATCTTTTGAGCTGAGAGACATTATAATAAAAATAGGAGGACAAATAAGAAGAGAATGATCAGATTAGTCATTAATTATAGCTTAGAATCTAATTCCATGATGGTGCTAAGGTTCATTGGGTTCATGTAGCTGGAAGGTCCACTTAACATCCCCTCCACAATGATTCTGTTTGCCTTTTCTGATGGATGGAATGCATCCCAAAACGCATATAAGTCTCTATTTGGGCATAAGTTTGATGCTGGTGTGCATAGTCCTATTCCATTGTATGGTCCTTGTCCACAACATGCCACCTTTGAAGTCACAAATCCTACATTTTCATTCAAAAGTAAAATTCAATAACATGCGATTATGTACTAAGCCATCCCCGGCGGTTAATTAAAAAAAGTTTAAACTCACATTTAAGCTGCCCATTCATCATATCAAGCTTAAACCTTAATATGATTTCAAAGTCAATTAAGTTTTAACGAGCAATTCGATCATAGTAAACTTCAAGATGACAACGAACTTTATGAGTGGAATTGGTTTGCTCTAATAATGACCCACAAGATGACTAATATTTATGATGCAGAACTGTTATTATTTTTAGTATGATGACACCTAGGGGTGGGCGTGGTTGGTTAACCGTGTTTTGGTTAACCAACTTTCCGGTTAACCGAGAAACCTATTACTTCGGTTAACCGAGTATCGGTTAACCAAAGTTTCAGTTAATCGAGTATCGGTTAACCAAAACTTCGGTTAACCACAAACCGGTTAACCAAAAATCATCAAACCATTGATTAAATATATACACACACCATGTTCTTTCTATATTAATTAAGTCAAAACAAGAGAAAAATAAATTTTGAGAGTGAAATACAGGAAAAGATAAAATACACTTAATAAGAATAAACGTGTTCAATTGCTTCAAAAAAAGAATACACATGTTCAAGTCTCACGATTGCAGAATGGGCTAATTAATTATAACTCACAAAAGCTTTGACTAATTATTAATAATATGAAATTAAAAATTCTACAGTGACAAACAAAATTTGGTTTCTTCACATGTTTATTAGAATTGATGTATCTAGATGTGTTGGATACATATTTATCTTTCCAAGTTCTCTGAGAACGTGAAGTTCATGACCAGACATGAACATACCGGTTATTGGTTAACCGATAATAACATATTTCTAAAACCGTAACCGTACCGCGAACCGTTTATTCTCACGGTTGGTTAAATGTACCGTGGATTTAAAAAATTGCGGTTCGATTAACCGGGAAAAACGGCGGTTTTCCGGTTTTTAGGCGCGGTTATACGGTTACGGTTTTTTATGCCCACCCCTAATATTGACACCCCATCATTGAGAGGCCCCAACACCGACCGAACAGTTAGATAAGAGGATGTAACAGATAGAGAGAGTGATACTCTAGCTTTGATACTTGCAGAGGTAACTGATTGGCTGATTGCTATATAGAACCAAACTCGATTAAACTAATATGATTGATAAACAACAAGAATAATTCAAAACTCGAGGTAACTAATTGAATTTTGAAAATACAAAGTTGAACTAGTATTAACTCCGTCTCACTTAAAACACCAGAATATTATTTCTCTAATGAAAATATACTTCAACTATAGAACATTCACAGATGATATACCATTTCAAACAGGAGCGGAGCTGAAGGAGTCGACCTAAGGTTGTTTTTACTTGGACTGTAATTCGTCTCAGACCAGACCAGACCAGACCAAAACAGGCCAAACCAGGCCAGACCACACCAGACCATATTTTATTATTATTATTATTATTATTATTAGGGGTGTGCACCAGTTCAAAACCGGACCGGATATCATTCCGATTCGATCTGGTTCCGGTTTTTCCAGTCCGGTTCGGTTCGGTTTTCCGGTTTAAACCGGATAGTGCACGCCCCTAATTATTATTATTATTATTATTATTATTACTACTATTATTATTATTATTATTGTTATTATTATTATAATTATCATTATTATTATTATTATTATAATTATTATTATTCCGGTTCGATATGGTCTGTTCTATTTTGGTTTGGTTTGGTCTGGTCTGATCTGCTTCGGTCTGGGATTGAAATCAAACCAAGTAAAACAATAACAATTTTCGATAATTTGGAAGAAATATTATTATTTTTAATTATAAATGAATAAAATATAATTATTTATGGATTATAAAATATATATAAAAAATAAAATCTTTATGAAAAAATATAAAAAATAAAATTTCAGACCAGACCAGACCAAAACAGACCAGACCAGACCAAAACAGACCATACCAGCAAATTACAGTCCAAGTAAAAACATCCTGAAGGAGCGGAGCTGAAGGAGTCGACCTAAGTCATGACCCATCCCAAATTTAAAAAACGCTTTGATGTTTGAGGTAAACATTTTATGTATTTTTTTTCTAAAAATATTATTTGTAGTGATCTAGTCCACCTCAATGCCCGGACTTCACTCCTGAATTTTTATTTAAAGTGTATACTTAAATTTAACGCATATATACGTACGTACCATACGCCTGAGGGTTGTCGACGAAGTCCATGTGCATATCGTATGTGTTAGCCGCTATGAAAACATCGGCGTTAAGCTGAGTGTTGAGCTCGCTTAACATTTGGCCAAGTTGGGGATTGAATAGAGAAGCAGCTTGTTGCAGATCAACTGCACACTCACCGGCTCGGCTCCTCTGAGCTAGCTCAGCCGGCACACACCCAATTGGCCCCGTTCCTGTAACGAGAACTCTTCTAGCTCCAATGTCATATAACCTCTGCCATATTGTATAACAATAAAAGGTTAGAGGCAATAAAAGTTTGACCGCCATCGGAATTATTAAAGTAAAAATTGTGTGACCGTAGTTTGTGTAGAAAAGAGATAATTAACCGAAACCACGAATTTTTTACTTAAAATAGAAAGTAGTAAAATTAGTGCGACAATAGAAAAAGAAAAGTTGACAAAGATTTAAAGGACAAAGATGAATAAATATATAATGGGGCCATTGAAGATAATTATAATGTTATAGAAGTTCTCTGTATTACTTTTTATACTTAGATGACTAAATTATCATTTAAGAATATCGTAGAGTAATTTTTTCTAAAGTTAAAATGAAAACAACAAAACATTAAAGGGAAATTGCCCAAAATAGGAGCAAATGAGATTTGAAATTTCAAAATAGGACTTGTGTTTTTCTTCCAGAAATAGAAGTTGGTACTATCATGTATAAAAAATACCGTCATGATTGAAAAATATTGTCACTAATTATAATAAATACTATCATGTTAAATGCACTGTACTGCAACTATTTGACAGTTACGCCTATAAGATGACAGTAAATCTATTTCGGGATGACGGATAAATGCACTGTATTGCAACCATTTGATAGTTACGCCTATAAGATGACAGTAAATACTGTCATCTTAATCTCATTTCGGGGATAAAAACATAGTAATACTATTTTGAAATTTCATACTCCATTTAGTCATATTTTAGTCATATTTTGGGAAATCTCGTAACAGTAAAAGAGGAGTCATAACCTTATCAGTTATACTTGGTGTACACATAATTTGTACACATATAACATATTGTATACATCATGCCTAGTTTTCTGTTTACCGATAGCTTCTTAACCAATTATAATCTTTACGATGAGACAACAGGAGAGGGGCACATAATATCTGTGGAAATTATGTCTACCAACAACACTTTTGTAACCTTATACTCGAACCGACGAAATTTCAATTTGAAAATTGCTAGTCAATTTGAAGTGTCATCACCCATCATAAACACGGATAGAGAAAAGTGATGTGACATTAAAGATTTCATAGATAGATTAGTCTTGGACACCACTTTAGACATAAGTGTGTACAAAAGTGTGTACAAACATCATTTTTCCTATTCCAAATCCCACATGAGTCTTGGGATTCAAACTATTGGAAGAATTGTAAAAACATATTTTTACATGAAATTTGTATAAATTTTCTCAAACATATGTAATTGTTTGTATAAGTATCATTGTAGTTTTTTATTGGAAAATTTTTATTTTTACACAAAATTTGTAAACAGACATTTTGTTTAGACAAAACAATAATTTTTTGTGTACACATGAGTGTAAAATGTAGCCAAAATAAGTACATATAGACTCTGCTTGTTTGCACATGTATTTCGTTTAGATAAAACAAAAGTTGTTTGTAACTTTGTATACATAGGAGAGTGCCAAATGTGAAAAAAAATTGTATACAATGGTGTTTTTATTAACGCAAAATGATGCCCAGTTCACCGTATTAATCTAAAATTTCCGAAAATTCATCTTAAATCTTTCAAAAAGTAAATCATAAACGAGAGAAGCCATACATTCATTTGGGATATGCATCTAGAATGTATTTGGAGGGTGGGAAATTAGTTACTACGTACTGAAATTAGTTACCACAGTACGCAACTGTTTTCCGTGGGAATGAGTAAAAAGGAAGAAATTGTACTCCCTCCGTCCCAAATTGTTTTGCAGTTAATATTTTTTGGTCAATCACTAATTAAAGTCAATGTTCTCTATAGATAATTAATTAAATTTTTAATAATTAAAATTTACATATTCAGAAACTACATTAAAATCTCTTTTTCGTTGCAAACTTCAAATCAGAATATAATTAAAAATTGACATCGTAATTACGCGAATAAAATGAAAATGTTTAACCAAGAAAACTCAAATTTGCAAATAAATTCGGGACGAATGTAGTATAAGGTAAAATAATGAATGAATGAATAGAAATATATAAAAGACCTGGAGAATTTTGCGATACTCGGAAATGAGAAACGGGACGTAAATGGGAAGAGGGAACTGGCGAGATCTGGCGGAGAAAGGGACCAAGTAGTAGTTGTTCACGAAGTCGTTGCCCCCAAGAGTGATGAGCACCAGGGCGTCATTCACCAATTGCGCCGCCTCCGCCTCTCCGATTGCCTCTCCCACTCGCTGCTTATACTGCTCAAAATACTCCAATTGTTGTCCGATTCTGATTATGTTCAACTGCATCAACACATACATGCCCACTATTCAATCCATCAATTCAACTTATTAATTTAGTTATAGGTACGCTTGCAGCACAGATGGACCCGGTCCGTCCCGGCTCCCGGCCGAGACGGCGAGACCGGTCAATCTTTTCCAAAAAAGGGATATTCAGAACGGGCCCGATATAAAGATGTCCCGAACTGGATCGGGTAAACTAGCCCGTCCGGTCCTGCTTTCGGCCTAAAAATGAAAAAAACAAAAACAATTGATTGTTAGGGACCGGATAGGTCGGTCCTGGTAAAAAAAATGGCACCCGAGACCGGGTAACGAAGCTCGAGGGGGAGAGGACGTTCTTGGACCGGAACCGGAAAACCCGTCCCAGGTGGTCCTAAACAATGTTGGGCTTGAGACATGTTCAGATCAGTTGCGACTAGCGAACCGGGTCCACGCCTCGTACGTAGTAGCTAGGGGCGAAACTAGCCGGTAACAATTGTCACACTACTAAATTAGAGTAAAAAAGTTTTGAAATTCTAAAATAGAACTATCATGTTTTTTATTTCCTAAATAGGAGTAAATTTCTGTCAAGTTTGGCATTACTAGGCATTTAAAAATGGCATTTTTTCCAAAATTGGCAGATTACTCCTATTTAGGTCAATTTCTATAGTATGTTGGGGTATTTTTGTTGAAAATGCAGAATTACTTTTGAATGCTCTAAATCGTCCCTAAAAGCAATTTTTGAAAAGATGAAGGAAACCAATTTTTGAAAAATTGATTCTGATATTAGTACAAGTAGAAGTAAAACCATTTCCTATTTCCAAACATCATTTCCAAGTAGGATTTACTGGGGAAAAAATAACCCAAATAGGGAGTAACATAATTGAGAAGTCGAAGAAACGCACAAACTGAAAGCCGGTGTCGTTGAGGATCCCAACTCCAGCAGATGCAAAATTGGCTCCAACAAGAAGCTTATCTCCCTTCAAATCTGGACTCATATATGGCAATGTTGCCTCCATCCCAAGCTTCTCACCTTAATACAAAATAACAACGTTTAAGTATTTAACCTTAGCTTAATCTCAAAACAGTATGAGGTTGGCTAACCTTAATACAAAACAAAAACTAACAAAAAACATTAAAAAAAAGTATGACAAAGATAATAGACTTATAACCACTTTTTGTTTAAATACTAAAGATAAAAATATACATTCCTATAAGATACATTCCTATAAGATACTAAATCTACAATTTCTCGACCAAAGCAATATAATCCTGTCATATACATACTTATGATATCCGGAATGTTGAGCCCATTGGAAAAGCGGCCGGTGGGTCGATGCGTGGGGTAATCAACGCCATAAGGCGGTGAGTCTGCCCGCGCACTCGTGATCAGGTAGTTGTTGTTGCCATTGTCGACGAGGGAGTCTCCGAAAATGAAGAACGCCCGAGACTCGGCCTCGCCAACGAAGATTATCCCGAGCATGCCCAAGGTTGATAGAACTAGCATCACGAAAGGATGAGGATTTTTCGCCATTTGAGACCAGCAAGGGGATGAGGCCATTGATAAGGATTAGAGGTCGCCTTGTTAGCTTACTGCTAGCAATTGAATAATTGAACTAAAGAGAAGCTAAGGTGGTGTCTTATACTCTCATACATTACTAGCTCCTAGTGTGTTCGTATTTATCTTTTAGGGACTATCTTTTACTCCATCATGATGATGACTGGTCGTGCGTACATATATTTATGATGTATCATATACAAACAAAAATGTTACGTTTAATCAAGGATACATTTTTCAAGCTTTGGGAGTTGAGACCCTCCTAATATAACATTTCTAGCTTTTATGTATTAGTCGATATCATAATAAGAGAATTAGTCCAAAAATGGATGTTAAAAGACGATAGCATACTAAAGTTTACCATACTGACTGTATGGTAAACTTAATAATGGTGCTTAATTGTTTAATTTATAAATTTCTACTGAAAATAAATGATCCATTTAAGCTAAAACTCACACACTAACACTCGAAAGGATATATACAAATATAATACAACATCACGCTATATATACTGATCAAGAATTTGAATTGCCCACAATCAAATCATCGATGATTTACTTCACAAATAGAACTGATTATGCTTACTCCTACTAAAGTATGTACGACATCCTCATCAATATGGGATACGACTATAAGAGGAGGTGGTGTAGATGAATAAAGTAATTAGGGAAAGTAAAGTTATGTTGTAAATATTAAATAAGAAATTGATCCAATTAGGACTAAAACATAGTCAATACTCCAACTTAGGACTTAATGTTTTTAATTCCCTAAATGGGACTCCCTATTACCATATTACCCCTAATATATTAAATCCCTACCTCTTCTGTGTTTGTCTTTCCCGATCTCTGCCTCCTCTTTCGCGTAGATCGCCCCAGATCTCTCCCATGTCGATCTGCAGGTCATCTTCGATTCCCTCTCCGCTGCCCAGGTCGACTTTTCTCCAGGTAAATGTTTCTTCTTCTTCTTCTTCTTCTTCTTCTTTCTTCTTCTTTTCCTCCTTCTCCCTCTTTTCCTTTCCTTATCTTCTGTTCTCTGCTCCTCTCTGCTCCATTCTTATTCGGTCAACATTTTAGATTAATTTTATGTTGATGTTTATGTTAATTCTTTTAGATTCAAAATGGATTTTTTTTAATTGAAAATTTTGGATTTGGAACTTTTGGATTTGAAATTCGAGGCGCTATCAATTGTTCGAAAATATTTGGGTCTAATTTTTTTATTATGTTCGTGTATCAACTTTTAAAAAATGCACATGGTTGACAATTTTTTGGAGATATATTGACAATTTTTTGGAGATGACAGTATTATATCTTTGAAAGTTAAATGATTTTGATATTTTTGACAAATGATGACATTTTTGCATCTAAAAATGTCATGTTGTAATCTCAAAAATGACATGTTTTTGCATCTAAAAATGTCATGTTGTAATCTCAAAAATGACATGTTTTCGGACCTAAAAATGTCATGTTGTAATCTAAAAAATGACATGTTTTTGCATCTAAAATGCCATGTTGTAATCTCAAAAATGACATGTTTTTGCATCTAAAAATGTCATGTCGTAATCTCAAAAATGACATGTTTATGGACCTAAAAATGTCATGTTATAATCTAAAAAATGACATGTTTTTTCATCTAAAAATGTAATGTATTTTTCGTTGGTGTTATGATGATGGCAATTCCACCTGAAATTGATAACATACTCTCCAGAGAAGGTAGCAAACATTGGCGGATGAAGGTGTAGCACTATTCTCACTAGAGGGCAAGTAAGCCATCTAGCATGATGTGTGCGTTCTTGCCGAGTGTGTGCAACGTCGGTCTCGCCGGTGGCAGCGGCAGCTCCTCACCGGGCAGTGGCGGTGGCGGTCTTGACGATGACGATTGGCGCGGAGGGTGTTGTTAGTGTCGGTGGTCTTGAAGCCCTGTTGCAAGGAATTATCGGAGGAAGTGCAGGGGCATTTTTTATTTTTATTTCATTAAGGGTAATTTTGTCAAATCATCTCTTTTTAGTCCTATTTGTGTTTAATAAAACATAGTGGTCCTATTTTTGAAATTCTACCTTCTTTTAATCCTATTTGGACAATTCTCTCATATTAAATTTGTGAAGTATGAATAATAAAGTAATATTGTCGGACCACTCGGACAATCCTAGTGGAACATATAAATAAAGAGAAATGAGAAGATCATAGTGAAACAGACGAAGTAATATGTATTTATGTAGTCATATCAAAAGAATAAATGCAATTCAAAATTATTGTGAAATTGAATGAAATTTGGTTTGATGGTTTTTTTCAAAAACATCTAAAAAGGATGACACTACGTCCCTGAGGCCTGAATAACAGGGACAATTAACTGAGAGGATGTAAATTGCACTTTAATCACAAGTTGAAAGATACAGAGTGAAGCTCTGATCCAAATACTTGCAGAAATCATATGCATTTCTACATGGTAATCACTCATAATAGTTGACAAAATTCCAACACGAAACTATCCCTTGTGACACCCTATCTATCAGTTGAGTTACACTTACCGGCCTAAAAAAATGGAGTAGATCCAATTATAACCCCATGAGGACTTCATATATGCATCTGGCGATGTTTGACCTAGGGCTATGGTTTGTACAATTGTGCGGACTGTAAAGTAGGATGGGGGCGAGCTGAGGGTGTACGTAAGATGGCAACCCAACGTATTAAATGGGAAGTGATGAATTATTGGTAACTTTAATTTATGGTCTTGTGTTGTGCAAAAAGTAAAGCACTTGAAGACGTTCTTTATATATTTGCTTGTCCTAAAGGGGGAGGGGTTAAAGCCATGCATGTGAAATCAATGGCGTGGGGTTCTATTTCAGCTACCCCAAACTACTGCCTTCAAGTTTAATTGGGTTTTTCTCAAACTCCGGTTAAATTTAAAACTCCAGTGAAATCAAGGGTCCTTTCTTTTTAAGATGTTATGAATTGGACTATATTTTTTGGTATGTTGAAGTCTCATCTGATTTGATATGATCTGAAATTCTGAATTAGTCTTGTTTTGTATGGTAGACGAATTATCTATGTAGGTGTATTCCACAACTATTGAAGTCGTGTCTTGTCTGATCATATGGTCTATTTAAACTTGGCTTGAACTAGTATCGGAATGAAATCAGTCTAGTTAAAAACATTCTTAATTGCAACACTTCAGTTTCTGCGTTTGTCAACACACAACTTTGAAAGTTAATACTCCGTATGTTTAATGCGGTTCGTTTATAAATTTTGAAAAAATAGGTTTTTTAAAATTTACATGGAGACAAACTTAACATTATTTCTCATGAAAAAAGTGAATGCATATAAATAAACTACAGACAAACTTGAACATGTGTATAGCGTAAAACTCATTAATTCATTATGTTGTACTTATTTAAGAACAAATGTAGTATGTGCTATATAAATTTGATATTTATGAAGATAAAGTTCTCCTAATAGGACTAAAGTGAAAAATAAGAAAAATTCTATTATACATTGCCAATTTACAATTAAATTATTGTACCCCTCCCCCGTCAGTACATCACCATACTTGTCATATTAGTATAGTAATCTCTGTTATTTGTCTATTAATTAATACTCAAAGATAACAATGTTCCTTCATACTACGTATAGTATTAGGATGTTTTTACTTGGACCGTAATTTGCTGATCTGGTCTGGTCTGGTCTGTTTTAGTCTGGTCTTGTCTGTTTTGTTTTGGTCTGATCTGGACTGGTCTGAAATTTTATTTTTTTATATTTTTTGTATAAAGATTTTATTTTTTATATAACATTATAATCCACAAATACTTCGTAGAATTAGGCTTTAATTTTAGGAAACTAATTTAATTATTGATTAACAATAAAGCCCAAACTCCAAAGCCCCAACTAATCTACTCCTTTATAAGCTTACGAAATACGAAGTATTCAAAGTATTCGTTGCCCATCGCCGTAGAAGATTTGCCGCAGACGAACCGCATCAACTCCGGGAAGAAGTTCGCCCTTCCTGCCTTGTTCCTCACTGAAGCAGACGACTTCGCAGGTGGTTCTACTCTCTTCTCGTCTCATCGTCTGCCTTAGTTGCTTAAATTTTTTAGTATTTTTAATTACGTTTTATAGTTATATGATGGATTATAGGGTATCCAATCTATGTATAATATGGAGAGATTGAGCTCAAGAATGGAGAAGATGATGAATAGTAGAATATTTGTATGGAGTATGAATTAAGAACTTAGGTTACAAGTCTCCCAAAGGGAGTATAAATAGACAATTAATGGGCCGGGCCGCTAATATGGGCCCGATAGGCCCAACTACATAAAAGACTAATATATTACATACAAATGATATATGAACTCTACAATAATACAAATGATATAAATGAAATCCGATAAGCGTGAGTGGGCCGCTGTCGGGGGTCCGAGTCTATATACTCTATCAGGAGTCCCCCACTCCTTGAGTCGAGAGTACTCAAGCCGAAAGGGAGTAGAACTGTGTGCTGATATGTCGTCGTCTGGCGAGTAAACTTCGTGAAAAAATTTGAAACGCGAAGTCCCCCGCTCTTCCAGTCCCCCACTCCTTGAGGTGAATGTAGTGAGGTGAAGAGGAGTAGAGTAGTGCATGTCTTGTGATGTCTTCAATAGGGAAGGCCAGACCGCCGAGGGGTCCAAGACCGCCTCGGAGGAAAGGCACTCCAAAGGCCCCAGGAAAGTGGAGGGTCCGTCTCGAGGGCAGACGAGGAGCGTCCCCCTCGGGACAAAGGCAAGGCACCCCTTCATGCCAATGACGCTCGCCACCAGATCAACCAGGCCCACTCGGCCCGGGTTCGTTCGCAGGGGGCGGAGACCCTCCCGAAGGATCCCCGGGACGAGATTATTGCGGCCCTCCAGCGCCGGCTTGACGAAATGGAGTCCAACAAAGCTCACGCCACCACCTCCACCCCTCACTCAGACCTCAAATACGAGGCCATGATGGCCAAAATGGAGGAATTACAGAAGAAGGTGGCCGAGGGCTCCGGGGAACTCGTCATCCAGCTCCGGACTCGGACGCCATTTACCCCAAGGGTATTGGCGGCCCGGATCCCGGAAAAATAC